TAGTTTGAATGTCGGCGCGGTGCAGGTCAGCAACAGTGGCCGCAGTGACTATCCCTTTGTAGTCGAAAGACCGATTAAGTCTGTAAGTTGATACAAAGGTGGACGTATCGTCAGGGTCCACAGCTATTTCATTGGACATCGTGATAGGCAGTGCGTCCAATTCATCCAGAGACTGGATCGTGGCCGCGGAATCCTGTACCGTCGCAGGCAGGACGCGAGGGTCGAATGTACCCGTTCTCGGCCTTTCACATTTCTTGAACAGCAAGCAGTCGAGGATGCAAGCTGGCTCGCAGACATGTTCCATGAGGGCACGGATAACATTCTGCTTTCTGTTGTAAACAGGCAGCGAGTGTGCAGCTGCTATAGCGCGTAGGTCCTTCAAAGTAAGAGTAACAAACGCGGTCACAAATGCAGCAATTGAGTCAACACGACATATCACATGCCGCTGTGGGTCGTGCGAGGCGGCGTCAAGGACGTCTGCTGCCGAGCCGCAGCGCACGAATTGGAAAAACTTGTTCAGAGTGTGCGCTGTAATCGTACCATCAACGGGTTCCGACGGGGTGTTCAAGTAAGCTATCTGCAGCATACGGGGATCGGCGAGAGCGTCGGGACCGCTGCGCTGACGCTGAAGGCGCCCTGCGCGCCTTTTGTGAAGTAGTCGGCGAAAGACGAGGAGGGCGTGTTTTCCCGAACATTCGTCCGTGCAGACGTGGTTGATCACTCGTGCCCGCGTCTCGGCATAACCTTCATACTGGTTGAATACAATCTTGTGCGCCTCCGCAATCATGCGCAAAGATTCGGCATTGAGGCATCGGTACGAACGCACAAGTTCGGCTATATTGGGGCACGACAGGACACATAAATCGGGAGTGTATTCCGGAGCTCTGAACGTGGTACCAGCAAATTCGTACCAATCTTCCAGTTCGGAAGACGTAAATCTGCGCTGAGTCAGACTCTCGAGACATGCATCTGTTGCGGTTGCGGTGTACGGTGGACATTCTGGCGCACTGAGATCAGGCGCTTCCGAGTTGACAGTGGGCTCTCCAGAAGCACAGTCAGAGGCGGCGACAGGTGGTAAAAAGGAGCTCACCATCGTCGAATAACGGCGGCGATTCTTCGCACTCATGACGAGATGCTTCATCGTCGGAATCTGGTCGCAGATTAGGGGTCAAGCGCGGTGAAAACACGCGGATGTACCTGGCAAGAAGAGAGGGTCGCTTGGGTGGTACATATTGCTGGTAGTCGAGATCGTGGACGGGGCAAGGTCTGGGTCGTAGTCCACGAAGACATTGGGGTGATCCGCGGGCAAAGGGGGGGCCTTTCGGAGCTCCAGAGGATCAAGTTCGTCTATTTCCATGACGGTTGGGCTTCGAGAGTTAGAGCTGGCCATTGGGTAGTACATATTGCTGGTACTCGAGATCGTGGGCGGGGCAAGTTCTGGGTCGTAGTCCACGAAGACATTGGGGTGATCCGCGGGCAAAGGGGGGGCCTTTCGGCGCTCCAGAGGATCAAGTTCGTCTATTTCCATGACGGACGGGCTTCGAGAGTTAGAGCTAGCCATGACGTTGGCGGGAGCGAGCAGGATGTTGGATAAGCACCGTCAGATGGAACTCTGCTGCGACGATTCGGGTTGTGTAGGGACGATCGGGACCCCTGTCTCTGTGCGCCGCTGAATTCTTGCGATCATGACCGACCCCGCTCACCTTCCTCGAGATGTTGTATTGGAACTCGCGCACGTCTTTGTTCAAACCGGCGTCTTGACGTGGCTTCAAAGCCATGACAGACGGCACACGCTGGCGGCAGTTTGCAAGGGATGGTGCGCCGTCGTCAGCGACAGTGCTGCGCTGTGGACAAATATAACTGTCCATCCAGCGATGTCGGCCAATTTCGTCGAGCTCTGTTTGGAGCGGAGCAAATCAGCGAATATCAATGTTGTCCTTACCCTTCGCCAATGGAATGCGCGCGACCACCCGAGCCTAGTTCATTCTTTACCCTCCATTCGCATTCGAGATACGCCCGAATTCTTAGCGCACAGCGTATCGCTCCTGGAAGAGCCCTTCCTCCGCGTCGTGGCGTTGGTGATGGACGGTGTGCGCTGTGGCGACGTACATGTTCTGGCGACTGCTGTGGCGAAATTCAAGGCGCCGAAGCTGTCATGTGTCAGATACGCGTGCTTGCCGGTGTACGGAGGGTTGCGCGAGGCACGCGCCTTGCCTGAACTGGCAGCCGCGTCGCCGCTCAAAAGGCTCCGTATGGAGGTCGTCAGTCCGACGTGGTCTCCTGCCGCCTACAGCGGCCTTACCTGTCTCCATCTTGACCGCGGCGAAGGCGTCTGGGATCAACTCTGTTGCGTTCTAGGCAGCGCCCGAAGGCTCGTCATCCTGGTGCTGGCGCAGTTCCGATGCGCCATCCCCGTGGGCGCGACGGTTGTCATGATCCACCTACATTCTTTCCAATTGACGTACAGCCAGATCGAGCAGGCCGAAATCGCGCGCGCTATTGACGCGCCCAACGTTCGGAGAGTACGGTTCGAAGCTTGCGGGATGGCGTCTTTATCGCTGGTCCTGCGCATCGGGAAACACATGCTTGATATTGCTCCCTCTGTTGATTTGTTCGCCACAGACGACGTTATCGGGGACTTAACACGTGTTCTACCGGAACTGAGGACAACGACGGACTTGGATGTGAGTCGGTGCGGCACTGCGGCAAAAGACGCAATTCTGGCCCTCGCGATCGCGGGCGAGGGATTACGATTGGAGGACCTGCGCGAATTGCGAACATCCGCGCACTGGTCAGCCCAAGAGGCACAGATCCTGTTCCAAACCCTTCCTGACGGATGCAGATTGTCGGGCGCGAGCGAGAACGAGCACGTACGCATGGCGTGGACAAAGAGCGGCAACGGCGTCGAGTCGAACGAGTACTGGTACAATCACGATATGTATACTGTTTTCGGCGACAATTAAGGCGGCGCGTGAACACGATCGTGGTATGCGCAAGGATTATTATAATGACTTGGCTGGATGCAAGGGAGAAACAGGGAAGGTCGTACTATTAACCAGCCACATTTTCTACGCTGGACAACACCCCTTCTGCCTGCCCTGTGCCTTCCATATGTCGCTCTGAGCGCCGAAGCTGGCTGGGCCGCTCTTGATCCGCGGTCGTTGACGGCTTCCTCTTGCGCGTCCGAGTACCTGCGAGAGACGGCGAAGTGTGTCTGCTGCTGGACGAGGCTTGGGCGGGTGTTGCCCCTGAGCTTGCCGGCGGTCGGGTATAAACAGTTCCCGATGAAGAATCCGGTGAGGTGAGTGGTACTGCCCCTTTCGGCGCCGATTGAGAAGCGTCGCCTGCGGGAGCAGGGCTCGGACTCTTGCTGGACAGTGTTTGCGAGGAAGCAACGTCCGAACTCGATTCGTTCAGGGTTGCGGCGTTGCCGACTAGGACTCGTCCAGCGGCGTCGAAGTCTAGACGGCGTACGTGGTGGGCGCGGAGCACATATGTCTGCCGTTGATGAGCAACGCTTAACGTCATAGAAAAACGCTTACCCTGAGCCCGGGGCCCTCGAGGGTGTATACTTTATGCATCGTTGCCTGGACCAGAATCCAGTCTCCCACTTTCAAGCCAAAGTCAGCGACGTCGCGCGGCGTCGACGAGAGGAGTTCGCCGTGTTCGGAGGGGATGTGCACGTCGGTCTCGGAGACATTCACGTTGATGGTCCCCCCGGACGCTCCGAAGCGGATGGGACTGCACCACGGCTCAATATGGGGGTCCTGTGCAGTATTAGACAGAAACAAGATAAGGAAAGCGCTTACTTTGTCAAGGATGATGTCGGATATACCGTCGTCACGTATAGGGTCCATCAGTCTTGCGGCTTGGTCGATGAACAGGCCCTTTAGTTCCTCGCACGCTTTGAGTGCGACCCTGATGGTGCAAATTTTCTCGCCATCGTGCACAGTCTACATCGTATGAGCCGGGGGAAGAACGACGTGGTGGAGAACTAACGACTTTGTGGAGGAGGCTTCCGAACGCTATGACTGATACGGGCGTCCCCTGACCATCGGTGTATGCCGTGTTGTCGCTGCCGGCTTGCTCGGAGGGCGGGAAGAAATCAGCGGTGTACCAGCAATCATGGAGTGCGGGAGTTCTGTGGCTGATAAGATAGCGTAGCAACGTAGCCTGCGAGTCGATGATGCGTGGCCAGGAAGGAGTGGGGGGAAGAGCGGCCATGCGTGGAGTGCGGGGCCACAGCTGGTGTTATATGTTCCCCTGAGTGTACGATCGAGGAGTGTATACAGAGCTGTGACCCAGTTCTGATTGCATATTTGTGCTGATCGGGGTGTGGTGTAGGGAACCACGAATGGACTGGGAATGTACGTCGTTGGAACAGTACCCAGAAAGGGAGACACAGACAGAAAACATGGACGTGACGGAAGTGAGAAATTGGGGGGCCGCGCTTGGGATCTTCAGACCTGAGACAGTCTTGAAGGAGGCAAGCACTTCACTGTCAACGAGAAATTCCTGTGAGCGGAGGGACGATGGTTCGGCGCTGAGATACTAGTGTGATATCATTGATGATTAAACCATCAAATCATTGATGATTAAGCCATCAACTTGATGGGGCGATCGGATACAGATTCTGGCTGGAATTTATTTCGCGTTTGAGACCTGGTAACCTATCGGTAAACCATCAAATCATTGATGATTAAGCCATCAACTTGATGGGGCGATCGGATACAGATTCTGGCTGGAATTTATTTCGCGTTTGAGACCTGGTAACCTATCGGTACCACCAACAATGACTTGAATGCTTGGGGACGAAATTAAGTAAAGTGTTTTTTTGGGTTGTTTTGTTTTGATGTAATGGGTTGTGGGGCTTGGCGGACAACCTGGGGCGTGCCCGCAACCACAAATAGCAAAAAGAGCACCAGAGGCCAAAATGAAATAATGCGGTTCGAGAACGATGAACGACGAAAACAAGCAAAAAGTTACTCAAATCACCTTCATGCATTAAGAGGGAATCGAACCCCCGGCGGGTCGAGTCACGTTATGTAAGCCGGTGGCAACGACCCAGGTTACCACTACCCCATTAATGCGGTGGTGGGGACTGGGGTGGGGGTGGGAAGCCAGGTGGGGGGAGGGAGGGAGGGGGGGAAAGAGGAAGGGGGGAGGGAGGGAGGGAGGGAGGGAGAGCAGAGGGGAGGGAGGGAGAGCAGAGGGGAGGGAGGCGGACGAAGAGGAAGCGGGGCACCGACGTAGAGTTGGCGTGGACTTGAGCCGGGGAACGGGTTTGGCCACCGCGACGGTCAGGTTTGCCCTCTCCGCACAACGAGTGCGTTGGCGCCGACGGGAACGTGCGAGCCACTTGGGCCTTGAGTTGAGGTCGACGGAACCGGGAAATGGAAATGGTGCTGGGCGTGCAGACGTTGTGGTGAAAGTGCGAGTGAAGGACGGGGGCTCGTGCATTGCAGGGGATAAATCAAGCCGGCGTGGAAGGGGCGCTCTACGGGCGCTTGAGAGAACATGTCGATCTGCGGTTGTGGCCACCGGGCGGCGTGTGGGCTGTCAGATGTGTACCAGCGATTTGCGGGGGGATTGTTGGGTGGAGATTCAAGGAAAGCAAAGGATGCGGAGAGTATATCTCTAAGGGAGAACTAAAGACTCGAGCGAGAATGATGACGTTGTGGAGTTTTGCAGTTGTTGTCGTGCAAGCGCTAATTACGTAAGAAACGTCTGTTGTCTGCTCCGTCGTCGCCATCGCATGGACCGCCCGCTGGGCCCCCGCCAGGCCCCCGAGCGCCACGCCGCCTACGAGGACATCTTCGGCCGTCGCCCCATCCAGCACCAGCAGCAGCCGCGCCCCCCGGGGTACTACCCCCAACCACAGCAGCAGCAACAGCAGGCGCAATACGCCCCGCCGTACCCCAACAATCCCAACAATAATAACAACCTCGGCCCCGGGCAAGCGCAAGCCTACGCTCGCCCGCCGCCGCAGCACTTCCAGCAGGGGTACGCCCCCGGGCCCGGCCCGCAATACGCACACTCGCAGTACGCACCCTCCGCGTACACAGGGCAATACTCGCAATACGCCCCGCCCGCATCGGTGCGCGCAGCGAGCGTGCGCGCCCCGTCGCTGCGCCCGGGCCCGGGCGCGCAGTATCAAGCGGGCGTCGCTGCGCCGCCGCCCGACCGGCCGACGGACGCGGCGGGGCTGACGCCGGCGCAGGCGTACCAGGCGCAGGTCGCGTGGGGGCGGAGGAGTGCGAGTCCTGTTCCGGGTGGGAGTCATGCGAGCGTTGGGGGAGGGAGTCATGCGAACGTTGGGGGAGGAGGGGGCCCGCCGGCGCTGAGTGTGGCTATCGGCGGCGGGGAGGGGCTGGGGATTAATTTCGACTTTGAGGAGGGCGGGGTGGGTGGGTTGTCGAACGGGGTAGGGACTGCGTTAGGTGGAGTAGGGAGCGCGGGGCCGGGAGTGGGAGGGGTGCCGGAGATTGAAGAGGAGGACGAGGAGAGCGAGTTGCCGTGGGCGAGACGTGAGTGCTTTTCCTTCATCCCATTCTTTGCCTTGCCTTCCTTCCCTCCTTGCCTTCGTTCCCTCTCTTCGTTCGTTCTCTCCCCCTTCGTTCGTTATTTTCGCTCCTCTTGTGCGGTGGATATTGGGCACGCGCGATGGGTATGTCCGCATCGATTGGTGTGGCCACACTCCCCCTCGCTTCTCGCTTCCTCCCCCCGCTCTGCTGTCTGCTGTGTGCTAGCACCCCTCTGGAGCGCGCCACCACCGTGCTCCTTCGCCTCGCCTCCTCGCCTTCGAGCTCGGTCGTGCGCACCTTGTGCAGAACGACGCTGGAATCGAGCGTCGTGAGCGCGACTCGCGACTCGCCCCGCTGGGATGCTTTTATCGCTTCTCGCGTTTTGGGCCCGGGTGCGCACCGTGATATGCGGGTGCGCACACACACTTGTGGCGCGTCGTGCAGAGACCCGCCCTCATGCGCCGTGCGACCGCAACCCCCTGGTGCGGTGTATGCATTCGCCCACTCGGCTGGTCAGCGCTCAGGCGTTGCTGTCTGCGTCTGTCTCTCTGGCTGTCGTTGCTGCATTCCTGCATTCGTGCATTCGCGCATGCCCTCAGATCTCAGGCGCAGGCGTTGGCGTTGCGCAGCTCTCAAGCGCAGGCGTCTCTGTCGCTCCGCGCATCCGTGCATCCGTGCATTCGTGCATCCACTCAGCCGGTTGCGACGTTCGCTTCATTCCATCCTCGATACCTTTATCTTCATTTTCTCGCGATTGGGGTGCGGGTGCCTGACGCGCCCGGTCTATACTTTCATTCAGGAAGGGATGGGTTTCTGTGCGTCGTTTATACCCCTTCATCTTCGATGGGATTGCTTCACGCGATTCGATGCCTTCCTTATTCCTCCTTTCCTCCCTTCCTCCTTTCCTCCCTTCCTCCCTTCCTCCCTTCCTCCCTTCCTCCCTTCCTCCTTTCCTCCCTTCCTAGATTCATTTCCATTCATCTCCATCCGTTCTTTTTTTCTATTTAACGCCGTTGCAATGGTGATGCTGACGATCTTTTCTTCTGTGATTGTGATTGTAGCGCCGCAACGTGAGTGTCGCCGATACTTTTGCTTTTTATCGCTTCTTGCCGTTTCGTTTCGTTTCGTTTCGTTTCGTTTCGTTTCGCCCTCACCCCCGCCCTACCCTCCCTCACCCTACCCTCACCCCCGCCCTACCCTACCCCGCCCCCGCCCCCGCCCCCGCCCCCGCCCCCGCCCCCGCCCCCGCCCCCGCCCCCGCCTCACGCTCCTTCATGCATCAACGCAGCGCAGCGCGCGCGTTTTGGAAGCGCGGCGCGTGGTGTCGTGTGTCCGGTGTTCGGTGTCCGGTGTCCGGTGTCCGGTGTCGTGTGTCGTGTGTCCGGTGTCCGGGGGTGTCGTGTGTGGGGGGAATGGGGGGAATGGGACACTGGGCTGGGCTGGCACCGGATTTGTGTTTTGGACGAGGGGGGTGCGGTGCGCCCAGGCGGAGCGTCCCGTGGCGGTGGGGGATCGCTGCACTGGGCGGGCGGCGGGCCGGCGGGATGGCTATTAGTCATCCCGTTGTGCGGACGGGGATTGGGGTATGGCGCGCTGTGGCGTTCGGTGTGCGGGCGGCGTGGCGTACGTTTTCCCGCGACGCAGACGCAGACGCAGCGCTTGCGGGGGCGCGATGCCTGTTTACTTGCACACCGCGTTTTGGACTCGGGGTGCGGCGCGGGGAGTTTGTCGGTCGAGGCAGAATGGGCGCGCGAGGCGGAGGGTCCCGTGTGTGGATGGGGATGCGTGTAGATGGGGATGGGGGATGTGCGCGTCGTTCGGTGGCGTGCATTACAGCGGGCGTGGGCGCGTGGGCGTGGGCGCGGTTCTCCCGCGAATCTACTGCCGCTTTCTTCTTACTCTTTTCCTCTTTTCCCCTTTCCTCTTCTTCTTCTCCGTTCTTCTTCCTTTTTCCCCTTTCTTCTTCCTCTTCTTTTTTTTTCCGTTCTTTTTTTTTTGGACAAAGAGTGCCCCTTACTGACTTGCATGTTTCTTCCCTTTTTTTGGGTGCAGAATTACAACAACGTGCGTTTTCGTTTTGTTTCTTTTCGTTTATTTCTTGTTTCTTTTGTTTCCGTTTCTTTTGTTTCTCCCGGTGGTCTTTTTGTTTCTTTTGTTTTGTTTCTCCCGTGGACTTTTTGTTCGCTGTTCGCTCTTCGCCTTTTTTTGTTCGCTCTTCGCCTTGCTTCACCCCGGATTTTTCTGCTTTGCTCTTCGCTCTTACTTTTGCGTTTTACTGCTTGCTCCCCTTTTTTTCGCGCTCGCGCTCGCGTTTGCGTTCTCCCTCCGTTTGGTTCTTCTTGTGTTTCTGTTGCGCGTGCGCGTGCGCGTTCGCGTTCGCTTGTCCCCGAGTTTGCGGAAGTTTGCGGAGGCGGGGAGGCGTGCGCGGGCGGCGCATCGGTGTGCGTCGCGCTGTCCGGTCCTAGCTCTCGCGCTGTCCGCCGTCGTATGCCCCGCGTGTCGGCCACCACGGGGCGACGCGCGTCATCCACTCGCGCTCGCGGCTCAGAGAGGCCGAGTGTGGCATCTGCGCGGGCGTCGTATTGTCAACGGCTCGGAGCGTCTTTGACGCGATGCCAGATGCCATCCACTCGGCGTCGCGTTGTCGAAGAGCCGGGAGCTGGGGCGGGGAGCTGGGGCGGGTCTGAAGGTCCGCGCTCGGCTCTCGGGCCTCTTCAGATTCGTTGTCGCGCGGAGACGGTCTGCACTCGCGTGCGAGTTCATCTTCGCGCCGTCGCGAAGCGTGGGCCGAAGTGGCGGGACCCGCCGTGTGCCTGTCGTGCGTGGGTGTCGGCGGACGAGGTGCGAGCCGAATCGGGGGAGGGATTTGACGCGCTGATGATGTCTTTCTTCCTCTTCTTCTTGTTCTTTTCTCGGGTCTCTCCACGCGAGCCTGCGTCTATTTCGCCGATCTTTGGGTTTGGATCGGGTTCTTCGCGGAGGCTGTCTGGGTTCCCATACGCCGGTGCACGAGGCTCCGGGGTGATCGTACGCCCCAGCTCTGTGTCGACGAGTTGACGAGTGGAGGTCTGGAAAGCGGAAGCGGAGGAGAGCGGGTGAAGGAAGAGGACTCGATTTCTCTGCCCCGCTCTCAACTCTCGATTCTCGCGTGGGGGAATCTCCCCAGCTCTCGGCTCTCGGGCCCTTTTGTGGGTGAATGCGAGTGCGAGTGCGAATCCCGGAGGATTTGCAGTCGCGTCGTATTCTTAGCGCCTCGGCGCGGTGGTTTTGCGCGATGTGTGCGATGGTCCTTTTCGTCGTCCGTGTCCTCGCCGTCCGTCGTCCATCGTCGAGGAGCCGAGGCACTGCGGGGCCTCGTTTCTTGTCGTTTCCCCCTCCCCCTCCCTCTCCCTCCGCGCTCGGCCTTCGGCTGTCGGCTTACGGGCCAATGCGATTGCGGGGGCGAGTGCGAATTCGGAGGATTTGCAGTTGCGTCGTATTCTTAGGCCCTCGGCACGGAGATTAGGCTGGCTTCTGTGCTAGCGTGTGGGGAATGTGCGATTGCGCGTTTCTGTCGTCGTTTTTGA